GTACATAATAGGTGTTGGATAAATGTTATATATGAATTAATGTAGACTCACCTGACTTCACTTTTATCATTAGTAAAAGTTTCAGATACTTCTGGCCCTGGTGGCACTGTAGTATAAGCGCTGGACGACTAACCACAAGATTGGTGGTTCAAACTCCCATAAAGATTTACAGTCTCAAAAACCCCATGCAGGGTTACTATCAGTTGGAATCAACTTGATGGCAGTGGGTTTGAGATGGTCCAATCTAATTCTAAAAGACTACATTCAATGCCCATTCAGTATAAATTCTTTTGTGTAAAGGAACATTTTCAGTTTTCAATGCTTCCCTGATATTAACATCCTTTTCTGGCATATTTCACATCCTTTGGTTTCTAGTTCGTCATAATCTCTCTTAAAGAATGTGGGGTTCAGAATGGTATTAAAAACCATCTCTTACATAGACACACTTCTAAAACTCCTTCCTGGTTAGTTCAAATCTCTTAATTAACACTCACAACAATAGAGACTTAGTACAGGTAATGGATCTAATGGAATGAACATCCTGCTTGCAGCTCTCACTTATCCACAAGGACTTCATGATACAACTATCATAAACTATGTTGAATTCAGGAGTCCTGCTGTAGTGCTGTAGGATAAGCACTGGACTGCGAGGTCAATTTGAACCACAAGGTCAGAGGCTTAAACTCACTAGCCACTCCTTGGAAATCCTACACAGGGTCACTATGAGCCGGAACCAACTTGATAGCACTTTAACAACAATTGTGAACACAAGAGATACTATTTCTAAGTAGTTTTCCTGACTTATTTGTCTAACTTTGCTATCAGGAAAGGGAACGGTCAATTCTTAGTTGTTTTCTTTTTACTTTACTTTTCTTCTTAACTTTTCCAGATATACTTACTTTCCGTGATAATTTCTATACTTTAGAAGTGTTCAGAAGTTGTGTATTTAATACATTGTTCTATCCAGACAATAGTATATAGATTATTGGTCTATGCTTTAATAAATCATATCTACCTTTCCTTAAATATTGAGGCATTTACCTACATCTGGTCATCTGGTCACCTGGCTCATTGAAAGCAATGGCTTTTGTTTTTTTTGTCTTATTTTTTGGTCACCTAGTGTGCTGGACTGCAAAGTCAGTTTGAACCGCAAGATGGGTGGTTCAAGCTCACCAGCCACTCCTCGGAAACCCTATACAGGATCTCTATGGGTTGGAACCGACTCAACTGCACTGAACAACAACAACAGAATCTCCTGGGTCCTCTTTGGGTTGTGTCAGTTACCGGTAATGGCAAATCTGTAGGTCCTTCTAGTTTCTGAAATGTAATTTTTCTTGGTCTGGGAATTTGAATGGATGTGATAGGATTAGGAGTTCACACCCATCCTTTCCTGTTAGTCTTCTCGTGTGGAGAAACCGAAGTGTCACAGGAATTCAATAGTCAAGGCCAATGTTCTCAGAAGCTTCAGGATCCCTGACATTACATAGGCATCTTCCAAGCTCCTGAGACGGGTCTCACACTCTGTTCACGTGGTCGCGTGTTTTGTAAAAATATCAAAAGTGAGATTCATTTTTTAAATTGTGCTACGGTTAAGTCTGTTATCTCCAATCTGACTTCTTCCCCCAAACATACTTTCTTTCATAGGGATGTTTCCCATAATGCCATGCTGTGATTGTATGCTGAGCATCAATTCCAACGCAGAACAGAGTAAAACTGTTCATTGTTTCCTTAGACTGTAATCTTTACAGCAGCCGATCACTAGGTCTTTTTCCTATAGACTGACTGGTGAGTATGAACCACTGACCTTTGGTTAGCAGGTGAGTGCTTTAACCTGCTAACCACCAGGGCTCCTTTTAATAATGACATACTTCCCTTCATAAGTCTGAATCTAAAAGGAAATGTCCTAAAGGAACAGTGATAATAAAATAAATATTTCAATCAATTTTATAAAGGGGAAGTCTGGATTATCTTTATATAATCTCTATACAAATGTGATAGAACAAAGTCACTGTCATCTGTAAAAACAATTAATGGATATATACCCACAGATGTAGAAAAAGGAAACAAAGGTATGAATCAGCTAAAATAATTTTTTAAGTATCCTGTTGTTTGTGGTACTTTTCAATTTTCGAAGTTTATAAAAATATTTAAGTAAAGAAATACACACACAGAGAATCACTCTCATACATGACTTGGCACTCTTTTCTTCAGACCTCACAAAACCTGCATCCTATTTGGTACAGCACTATGGGATAAGCACTGGACTGCTAACCACAAGGTTGGTGGTTCAAATCCACCACCTGGTCCTCTGAAACCCTATACAGGGTCTCTATGAGTCAGAACCACTTTGACTGCACTTACTAACTTTCATTAATGTCACTTTATTTCATTTTTCATTTAAAATTATTTGAGGTTACCAAATCTGGGTTCCTATATATATTTTTTCCACTTGTGTTAGGCAACTTAGCTACAATTCACACACACCCCCCTTTGTCATTTTGACATGGCTTTTTGTGTGTCCTTAACAGTATTCTTTCAACATTTGAGTATCTGTGATGGACCAGACACTCACTGAATTCCTTCCCTTCAATTATTTTCCCTGATTCTTTTGAGATCTAAGCTCCCTCTAAATACATTCTCAGGTCACATTGTTGTTGTTATTAGGTGCCTTTGAGTAGGTGCCAACTCAAAGCGACCTTATGCAAGACAGAAGAAAACTGCTGGTCCCGGGCCATTCTCACAATTGTTAAGCTTGAGCCCATTCAGCTGCCACTGTGCCAATCTACTTCATTGGGGGTCTTTCTCTTTTTTTGCTGACCCTCCATTTTGCCAAGCATGATACTCTTCTCTAGGGACTGGTCCCTCCTAAAAATATGTCCGAAGCACGAAAGATGAAGTCTAACCATTCTGGCTTCTAGGGAGAACTCTGGCTGTTCTTCCAACACTAATTTGTTTGTTTTCTGGCAGTCCATGGTACTTTTAACATTTTCTCCAACAGCATAACTCAAACACATCAATTCTATGGTCTTCCTTATTTGTTGTCCAACTTTCACATGCATATGAGGCTACTGGAAATATCATGGCTTGGGTCAGTCACACTTTAGTCCTCAAACTGACATCTTTGCTCTTGAATACTTTAGCAGATTTGCCTAATGCTATATATTGTTTAATTTTGTGACTGCTGCTTCCATGAGTATTAGTAGTGGATCCAAGTATAATGAAGTATTCGGCAATTTCAATCTTTTCTCCCTTTATTTTGATGTTATTTATTGCTCCAGTGGTGATTTTTTTCTCTTCACATTGAGATGCAATCCCTATTTAGGACTGTGCTCTTTGATAATCATCAGTAAGCATTTTAAATCTTCTTCACTTTTAGCAAGCAAGAGTGCATAATCTGCATATTGCAGGTTGTTAATGAATCATCCTTCAATTCTGATACCATGTTCTTTTCCATACAATCCAACTCCTGGGAATATTTGTTCAGCATATAGGTGAAATAAGTATGGTGAAAGAATACAACCCTGGAGCATACCTTTCTTGATTTTAAACCATTCAGTGTCCCCTTGTTCTGTGAGAACTCCTGCCTCTTGGTCTATGTACAGTTTCCTCATGAGCATAATTAAGAGTTCCAAGTACTCATTCTCACCAATGTTGTCCATAGTGTGTCATGACCCACATAATTGAAAGCCTTCAGTATAACACAGGTATACATCTTTCTGGTATTCTCTGCTTTCAGCCAAGATTCATGTGACTTCAGCAATGATGTCCCTTGACAGAATCTGGCTAGAGCTTCTGGCAGTTTCCTCTCAATGTACTATTGCAGCAGTTTTTAAATAATCTTCAGAAAACTTTTACTTGCAGGTGATATTAATGATATTGCCTGATGATTTCCACATTCCATTGGGTCACCTCTCTTTAGAATGAGAATAAATATGGATCTCTTACAATCAGTTAGCCAGGTATCTGTCTTCTAAATTTCTTGGCATAGGTGGGTGAATGCTTCCAGTGCTGCATCCGTTTGTTGAAAGATTTGTTTATTCCATTAGCCTTGTTTTTGCCAATGCCATCAGTGTACTGTGGACTTCTTCCTTCAGTGTCTATCATATAGTATCTCTTGAAATGGCTGAACATCAACCATTTCTTATAGCGCAGTAGTCTGTATTTCCTCTATTTTCCTTTGTGCTTTCCTCATCATTCAATATTTTGCCTATAGAATCCTTCACGATTGCAAGTTGAAGCTTGATTTTTTTTCTTCAGTTCCCTCATATGATCTCCAGCATCATTTCTGTTCCCAAGGCCATATTTTCAACTACTGATCCTTCCTTTTTGTTTTCAATCTTTGCATTCCAATTACCAGTAATTATCAATACATCTTTACTGAATGTTTGATCAATTTCAGACAGAAGTTGGTAGAATTCTTTAATTCCATCATCACTGGCTTTAGTGATTGTTGCCTAAATTTGAACAATAGTGATATTAACTGGTCTACCTTATAGGCGTACGGATATAATCCTATCACAGACAGCATTATACTTCGTGATAGATCTTGAATTGTTCTTTTTGATGATGAATGTGATGTCATTTTCTACAATCTGTCTTTCCCTGCATGGTAAACCTTATGATTATCATATTCAAAATGGTCAATATCAGTCCATTTCATCTCACTAATTCCTAGGATATTGATCTTTATGCATTCCATTTCATTTTTGACAACTTCCAATTTTCCATGCTCTGATTATTAATGGATATTTGAAACTATATCTCCTCCTTTTGAGTTGTGTCCCACCAGCAAATGAAGGACCTGAAAGCCTTATTTCCTTTATGTCATCACTGTTAACTCTACTTTGAGGAGGCAGCTCTTCCCCAGTTGTATTTTGAGTGACTTACAACCTGATGGCTTCATCTTCTGGCTCTACATCTGACAGTATTCTGGTGCTCTTTATCATGTTTCAATATTCAATATTTGACTGCTATCTGACAGTTTTTGACTGCTGTTCATAAGGTTTTCAGTGGCTAAACATTCTGAAGTATTTTGTCTCTCCTTCTTCTTAGTTTGTGTTAGTATGGAAACTCAGCTGGGGGTACCCTTCTGGTACCATGTCAGGCATCACGCTATGACAAACATGTCACAGCAACATGTCAGGCATCATAGTATGACAAACGGGCAGACACAGTAGTTTCTTTGAATCTTAATAGGGATTATTAGGTCAGATTGTTGTTTCTTGGGTTCGTCTATTTCTCCTAGCATCATCTTCATGTTTTAGAGTTAGGTTATGAAATGACTATACTTTTGAAATATGCTTTCCTGGTAACGAGTGTACATATCTGCTTATGTTCTGTCAGATTCCTTTCCTACTTCCTCTATACTCATTTTCTCCTATTTTATTGGTTATTTCCAGTCATTTGTCTGACTGCTTATTATTTGTTGGTTTTTACTAAATTCAAAGTAGAAGCCCCTAGAATTCTATATTTTGAGAGTTGAAACTGCCGGCAAGGTAAGTCAAGAATTGGTCAGAACACTGCAGAACCATCTCATGTTTGTCAGCCTCCTGAGGGAGGAAGCAGAAGGTTTCCACACCCACAAGCCCTGAGGAGCAGAAGGAACAGGAGATGGGGAGGTGCTAGAGGCTGGTCAAGTGTAAGGGCATTGACTCTGAGCCAAAAGGACTGAGGCCCAGGTATCCCTTTCCTGAAATTGTGCCTCCCGTGGTTCTGCTCTCATGTTTCCATCGGCTGGAAAGCAAAGACTCTCATTTCGATGGTCTGCTTGGTTCTTGCTGCACTTTCCCTCATGCCTTTCTCTTTCTCTTTCCCCTCCACATGCCTGTGGAGACGTGGTACGTCCCCTCCACATGCCTGTGGAGACGCGGTACGTCCCCTCCACATGCCTGTGGAGACGCGGTAAGTCCCCTCCACATGCCTGTGGAGATGCGGTGTGTCCCCTCCATATGCCTCTGGAGATGCTGTATGTCTGAGGTACACAGAAACCTGGAGTTAGCATCAACAGACAAAATATAGGATGCTCAGTGCAAATGCTTGCCTGAAATTAAAAGTCAACTGGGTGTCTTGAATTTTCATTGGCTAAATAGCACAACCTTCTCTGGAACCCAGTTATTGAGTTGGCTTCTCCCTTGCATCTGTGCTTTCTCCTGATTGCCCGTGTCATCTGGGTCAGACTTTCCTCTTTCTGGCCTGGTAAGAGCTGCAGCCCCAGTGCTGGGAAACTTAGAGTAGGGAAAAGTCCAGAGTGGGCTATGTGGTCTGCTTGGGTTCCAGGCTCCTGGACATTTCCAGCTCTAGCAAAAAGAGTTTTCCACATAGTCTTGTTTAGGTAATGAGATCTATGTTGACTATCTACTGTTGCCCTTCTAGATTAGTTTTCTATCCTTCCCCACCCTTCTCATTGCCTTGGGACACTGATATAAGGGAGAAAGATGAGGTTTTCTGCTCCCACAAAGATTTAATGCCTTAGAAACCTTATGCAGGGTTAGCTGGAGCAGACATGATGGCACTTAACACCAAGAGGATCAGCTCCAACTAGGGATCCTTGTATTCATTAAGGAGGCAAGGAAAGGGAACAGACCTTTGGACCTCAAGTGTGGGTCATCTGACAGAAGCTGTGGCTTTCAGCAGAGGAATTCAACCACCCACAGTGCTCAGCAGAGAGGATCAAGTGATAATGTAACCCAGTCTTACATCTTTCCTGCCCACACATCTCCTGCTAGTAGTTCCCATAAATCTGTGTCTCACTGAATTGTTCCTACCCTGCAGCAGAGGTTAGTGTGCAGTGGAGAAGAAACCACTGTATCCTAGGACAGCTCAGTAACAATGGGAGCACCACAATCTGCCGCAATTCATGACTGGCTCTCAGATGGCCAGTGTTAAAAGTTCATAAAGGAATGAGATCATTGGGGACTGGCATGAAAAAGATAAGAAAGGGTCTTTTATAAAGCTTTGAAGGAAGACCATTTTGCGTGATTTTCTCCAAGACTATTGATCTGTTAAAGCAACAAGCCTTGCCTGGACAGCAAATGGCCTTGGCCATCATCAGAGTAACAAAGAGCTGGATGGAGCTTCCAGGGCTCAGGGCAGCTCCTTGCCGTACACTAGAGTAGCCATTTAAAGTAGCTGTCTGCTCTTTTATGACTTTAGTTCTTTTTTTTTTTAAAGTCTATTTCTGAAAAACCAGATGTTAAACTTCATTTAAAAGCATTATGCTGTGGGCATGAGAACATGGATGGAGGGCTGTAATTTGCTGGGGATGTGTTCTGGGGAAGTCGTTCTTCCAGGAAACTCTATCTCTACTTGTTCTAGGGGAGAAAATTGGTCCTCACAGAACTCCATTTGTTCCTTCAATTTTAGCATGAATCAGAAACTCAAGTGTGTAGGAGAAAGCATGAGATGTGTCCAATGAGTAATCTCTAAAAAAAAATTATCTAGGTTATTTTCATAAGTATATATATTGCCAACTCTGAAAGGCCTTCTGGATATTGTACATAATGGTGTGAATCTTATTGTGAATAGGGAAAGGGATGGGTTCTTGTCATGTATGGCTGGAAACTATCATACCTCAGGAATTGGTTCATTCACATAGACCCATTCTCTAGATCCTGGTTTAGGCAGTGGTGGTAGTACTGGAACAGGTGACATATCTGCAGAGTCAGTAGGCTGAGTCTTTACTGATTGCTTTCCTCCTTGAGATTTTCCTTTAGGAGAACATTAAACACACATAGGAAATCATTCTACTATAAGTAGATATACAAAGTCATAGTCTGGTGTCTACATAAATATATGATTGTCACGGGTGCACGCAATTTATTAATGATTTCTTTTAAGTTCCTTTGGCACCTTACCAAATCAAAGATTAAAACCTGTCTTCCATAGCTCCCAAATTAACCAATTATACATGTGTTGTTGTTGTGTGCTGTAGAGTTGGTCCTGACTCATAGAGACTCTGTATAGGGTGTCCGAGGAACAACTGGTGGGTTTTAACTTCTGACCTTGCTTATCTGACAGCCTCAGAAACCTTATGTAGGGAAAACCCTGGACCACAAGATCAGTGTGAATTCTGAGGTCAGTAATTCAAACTTACCAGCCACTCCTCACAAACCCTATTCAGGGTCACTATAGGTTGTAATTGACTCGACACTTAACAACAACATATGTATATATATATGTATATATATGGATCCCTGATAGTATAGTGGATCATGAGTTGGGCTGCTTAATGCAAGGTCAGTAATTTGAATCTACCAGTGACTCCAAAACCCTTTACAGGATTACTATGAGTAAGAGTAATAGTGCACATAATATATATTTCACATATTTTATAATATTACATATATATATGTATATATATAAGTGTTGTTGTTGTTAGGTGCCATTGAGTTGGTACTGATTCATAGCGACCCTATGCACAACAGAACACAACACTGCCCGGTCCTCGGCCAACCTCACAATCATTGCTATGCTTGAGCCCATTGATGCTGTCAGCTTATCAATCCATCTGGCTGGGGTCTTCCTCTTTGTCTCCGACCCTCCACCTTACCAAACATGATATCCTTCTCCAGCGACTGGTCACTCCTGGCAATATGTCTGAAATATTAGAGATGAAGTGTGATCATCCTGGCTTCCAAGGAGCACTTTGGCTGTACTTCATCCAACACAGATCTATTTGTTCTTTTGGCAGCCCATAGTACTTTCAATATTCTCCTCCAACACCACAACTTAAAGGCATCAATTCTTCTAAAGTCTTCCTTATTTACTGTCCAGCATTTGCATGCATATGAGATTATTGAAAATACTATGGCTTGGGATAGGCACATCTTAGTTCTCAAGCTGACATCTTTGCTTCTCAGCACTTTTAAAAGATCTTGTGCAGGAGATTTGCCTAATGCAATTCATCGTTTGATTTCTTGACTGCTGCTTCCATGAGAGTTGATGGTTGACCCAAGAAGAATGAAATCCTCAACAACTTCAATTTTTTCTCCATTGATAAGAATGTTGTTTATTATTCCAGTGGTGAGGATTTTTATTTTACATTGATATGCATCAAAGGCTGTGATCTTAGATCTTCATCAGTAAATATTTTAAGTCCTCTTCACTTTCAGCAAGAAAGGTTGTATCATTTGCATATTGCAGGTTTTTAATGATGCCACATTTTCTTCATATAACCCAGCTTCCCAGATTATTTGATCAGCATACAGATTGAATAAATATGGTGAATAAATACAATTCTGTTGTATATCTTTCTTAATTTTAAACCATTCAGTGTTCCCATGTTCTTTTCAAATATATATATATAATTGCTTAAAAATATTATACATACACACACACACACATTGCAAGATTAGCATTTCAAACCCACAAGCAATTCCAAGATGAGGCTTCCTTCCATTGAGTTGATTCTGACTCATAGCAACCCTACATAGGATTTCTGAGGCTATAAATATTTACAGGAGCAGAAAGCCTTATCTTAGAGCAGTTGTGGGTTTGAAATGCTGACCTTGCAGTGTGTGTATACGTGTAAGTTTTTTTTTAAAGCAATCCAATCTCTTTCATAGAATTGGCAATAAAAAGTAACTTGATATTTTATTTTCATCTCTGTAGTTGCTTCCACAATGAATATGTGGCTCTTATTAAGTACAGACCCTACAGCAAAGGATATTTCATTTACTATTCCAAAAAAAAAAAAAAAAAAAGGACATGAAAAAACCATCTGAGAAAAGAAAGGGAGTTTTAACATGAATGGAGCACTTGGTATCCCAGGAGAAGGGTAAAGAAGTAGAAGGTTATGGAAGAGTCAGCCAGAGTAGGTGAAGGATGTGGAACAGGAAAAGAATGGACATCATAACACCAGAATATTTCCATATTCCCTGCATGAGACACAGCTTGTTTGAGAGACAAATTATAATTATTACTATAGTAGGAGAACAGACATAGTGGTAGATAATGTGGAATAAGCCAGGCTATATTAAAGCATAATGAAGAGAAGCAGAAAAAGATGAAAAGGAAGAGACCTAATCATGAAGTCAGAAAGGCAATAAAGCTCGCCTTCCCTGATGATAATATCAAGAATAAGATCTACACCAGTCAAGTGGCCTCAAAGACCTTCTGCATTGGCCAAAGAAACTGAACTCAGACAGCACCCACAGTTCCTGAAAGAATGAGCATTATTATCGTTCATAAATTCACTCAGTTTACATTCCACTTACCTTCAGATTAATTATTTAGATTTTAGGTACAGTTTACAGATGTCTATAAAACTGAGAGCACTTTCTTTCCCCTCCAATTTATTTCTTTAAAGATGATTATTTAATGATAATGTTGGTTGTCGTTGTTGTTAGGTGCCATCGAGTCAATACCAACTCATAGCAACCCTATGCACAAGAGAACGAAACACAGCCTGGTCCTGGGCCAACCTTACAATTGTTGCCACCCTTGAGCACACTGATGCTGCCACTTTGCCAGTCCATCTCGCAGAGGGTCTTTCTCTTTTTCTCTGACCCTCCACCTTACCATATCTGATATCCTTTTCTAGAGAGTGGTCCCTCCTAACAATATGTCCGAAGTATGAGAGACAGATGACGTTTGGCTGTCCTGGCCTTAACAAGGAGCACTCTGGCTGCACTTCTTCCAACACCTATCTGTTTGTTCTTTTGGCAGTCCATAGTATTTTCAATACTGTCCTTCAACACCATAACACAAAACATCAACTCTTCTATGGTCTTCCTTATCCACTGTCCAGCTTTCACATGCATATGAGGTTATTGAAAATACCATGGCTTGGGTCAGGCGCACCTTAGTCCTCAAGCTGACATCTTTGCTCTTCAACACTTTAAAAAGGTCTTGTGCAGCAGATTTGCCTAATGTAATATGTCATTTGATTTCTTGACTGCTGCTTCCATGAGTATTGATGGTTTATAAAAGAAGAATGAAGTCTTTGACAATTTCAATCTTTTCTCTGTTGATAAGAATGTTGTTTATTGGTCCAGTGGTGAGGATTTTGTTTTCTTTACTTTGAGATGAAATCCATACCAAAGGATGGACCAGTAAGTATTTTAAGTCTTCTTCACTTTCAGCAAGCAAGGTTGCATCATTTGCATATCATAGGTTGTTAATGAGTCTTCCTCCAATCCAGATGCCATGTTTTTCTTCATATAACCCACCTTCTCAGATTATTTGCTCAGCATACAGGTTGAATAAATATGTTGAAAGAATACAACCATGTTGTACACATTTCTCTCAATTTTAAGCCATTCAGTGTTCCCATGTTCTGTTCGAACAACTGCTTCTTGGTCCAGGTACAGATTCTTCATAAGCACAGTTAAGTGTTTAGGAATACTCATACTTCACAATGTTGTCCATACCTTGTCATGATCCACACAATCAAAAGTCTTTGCATAGTCAATAAAGCACAGGTAAACATTTTTCTGGTGTTCTCTGCTTTCAGCCAAGATCCACCAGACATCAACAATGATATCCTTTGTTCCACATCCTCTTCTGAATCCAGCTTGAACCTCTGGAAGTTCTCTGTAAATATGCTTGTAGCCATTTCTGTATTACTTTGAGTAAAACTTTATTCGTATGGGATATCAGTGATATTGTCCAATGATCTCTGCATTCCAGTGAGTCACCTCTCTTTGGAATGGGCACAAATATGACCTCTTCCAGTCAGTTGGCCAGATAGTTGTCTTCCAAATTTCTTGGCAGAGATGAGTGAGTGCCTCTTGTGCTGCCTCACTTTCTTGAAAGATTTCAGTTTTTATTCCATCAATACCTGGTGCCTTCTTCTTTGCCAATTCCTTCAGTGCATCTTAGACTTCTTCCTTTAGTATCATTGACTCTTGATCATATGCTACTTCTTTAAATGGTTGAACATCAACCATTTCCTTTTGGTACAGTGTATTCCTTCCATATTCTTTGATGCTTTCTGCATCATTCAATAATTTGCCTAGAGAATCCTTCAATAATGCAAGTTGAGGCTTGAATGTTTTTCTTCAGTTTCCCCAGCTTGGGAAACGCCAGGCGTGTTCTTCCCCTTTGGTTTTCTGACTCCAGATGTTGTTAATGTTGGTTAAGAAAGTAAATATACCTTCAACTTTTATACTCATTAAAAATGCATGGATTATAAATAGAGAAGAATTTGTCAATTAAGTTACATGGTAACTTTAGTTGACTCCTCTACCTATACATTTAGAAACAGTAGCCAATATACATAGGACTCAAGTTGTACCTAGGTTTTTAAAAATTAAGAAAAGTTCAAGAAAATGTCCAAACAGAAACTAAAAATTTTCATAATTTGAGCTATTGTTCTATATGATGTTTTTTTCAATCCTTGACCTGAATCTCTGGTCAAGTAATAGTGATGATTCTATGGCTACTTTAAACGGAAAATTTCAATGAGGTTCTAAGAAGACTGTGTAATTATAAATGTGTGATTGGAATGATTTTCTTTCCCTTCTTTTTTCAAGCATCATGATTATTTGGTGAAAAGTAAGTGGGCTGGGGAATCAATCTTTTAGCACTGTGCTTTGATTCCATGTAACTTTTGTCTAATTTTTAACAATGAAAATGCAGAGGGGCAGGAGAGTTGAATGAATAAAAATGTATACAAATCACAGTGAATGATGCCATTTTTGCAAAAAATAAATTATCAACATCTGAAATATAACAAGGGGTATTTCTTTTAAAATACCACATACCCAACCATATGAAGACTTCAATTTTCAATAAGATATTT